AGCGTTAGGGACTCAACTACACCTGAGAGTTCATTTATATACAGTATAAAAATTAAAGGGTTTAGGACAGGACCCTGAGGTACTCCGAAAAGTACTGGTCTCCGGGTGGAACACTCGTAATTTATTCCTACGTTCTGTCGATGACCTGACAGGAAATCTTCAATCCATTTTAGGAGAGGTCAGGCAAAACCAAGATTTTCCAGCTTCAGAAGCAGTATCTTTGTTGACACTTTATCAAATGCTGAAGTTTACGCAGACAACACCAACTTATTTTCCATTACCTAGAGCCTCTATCCATTTTTCTGTTGTTACAAGGAGATTTGTTGTACAAGATAAACCTTTTCTGAAATCACGTCCGTTGTTTAACAAGTTGTCGGCTTTCACAAATGTCATTGTGGTCTTTTTGACTATTCTTTCTAGTATATTAACCACGACACTGGTGAGGCTGACAAGTCTGTAGTTTGATGAAAGTTGTGTCGATCCTGTTTTATGTATGGGAGTGACGAGTGCACTTTGTCTCAGGATTTCAGGGTGTAGTTCACTCAGTCATGTAGATGTTTTCGTGTCGCAAGTTCTAAGAGCCTTAAGCACATCATCTCGACCGAAGTTCACACTGAACAAACGACTTTTTGACTTTCTATTTGGGTTTGGTTCCACGTCCAGAAGAGGATCCTGAGTGAAAGTTGTGATCACGCTTACATCCGAATGCTTGTTATCTGCTACGTTATTGGAGCACACCTTGATGGTTTCATTCAAATCCAAAGCAGATTCCTCGAAAACTGTAAGCCTTTCATCTAGCGTCGGCCGGTTATCTGAGAGCCATTTTCTAGACATTGTAGAGCATTATGCATTGCACACTCAAAATGACAGTGGCTTGCAGAACATTTTAAATGAGACTATATGAATCTGTTGCACACGCTGTCATACCACTTGTTGCATTTTTCACTTTGGATTCCGTCCTCGATCAAGTAGATGCACGCGCGTCTACCACAACAATGTTATTTAAGTGGTCTCACAGAGAGAAAACAAAGGGAAACTGGTCTCTAGAATAAGCGTTTTAAGTAGACACTAGATACAAAAAGCTGAGATTTATATGTCACTGTAACTGACAAAATACGACTTCACTATATACGAAAATATTCTTCGTCGCTTTGCGATACAGTCAATACTAAAATATTGCACCAATTTCGCAACATACGTAACTGTAGCATATGCAACATTGGTACGACAGTCACACAACCACAACCAGGTAGTTTGCATCCACTAACATGACACAGACCAGAATTTAGTGACTTCATGAAATGATTCCATGTTTTGGTTTGGCACCCCTAACTTTCCTTCATCCGTCGCTAACGCTAGTCAACATTTCATGCCTTATAAAATGAAGTAAATTGACACTGTTGCACAGTTAGGTTTCCTAATATTCGGGCTCAACCAATTATTTTTTTTCTATATTCCCAAATGTCGTGGTACGTGGGGTCATCATAGAATCGCTTGTAGGTTTTCCATAAATTATAGTTCATTAGTTGATAAAGACCTAATACAAAACAACGTACATTCGGTAGTTACTAAGTGCCTCTTTAGAAACACCAAAGTATTTTTAGACTTCAAAGACTTAGAAAATGATGAGTATTTTCAACACTCTTGGATGAGATGCTCTCGAAGTCTATGGTTTAATTTGATATGTAAACTACTGAATGTGATAATGTGTTTTACAATCGACTATTGTATAGTATGACTAAATTCCGAGTAATTTGTGCCTTTATAGCCTCTACACTGCAAGTTTTACAGTAAAATAATCAAGTGATTAGTTGCCGTGTTACATGTCGTTTGAATAGTCACTTGACCTTGTTAGCCTTAGTAGTTGTTCTTAAAACTGGTTATTAAATTCCGACTTGATAGGTATCAAAAGACAAAACTACCATTAAACCATTTGACCTAGGTTAATCTGATTATGCGAAAAATCCATTCAAGATATTTGGCCTATCAGCTACCAAATGATGGTAAAGAGTTCATCGTTATACATATTAAACTCCAGACTTTTTTATTTATTTGAACACATAAATATTGGTACAAGGGGGCACTAGATATATATGCGCCACACAAGACAATGGATATGGAGAGAGAAAAAGAGGGTAAGGTGCATATAAGAAAAAAAGAGAACATTAACAACTACAGATTAGTGTGTTAGTATAATAATAAGAATAATAATGGGGAAACAGTAATGTACAACCAGAAGATCTCTTTCAGTTAAGGAAGTTATAACTACTCTTTATGAAGAAAGTAAAAGAAGGTTACGGCAGGATCGCCACTGACTTCTATTCTGAGCCATATCTGATTACGTCTCTAGCCACTGTGTTGCACTATCTCTCGGACCCCAACCAGGGAGTCGTGAAGAACCAAAAGAAGAACGTTTTATACTACTTTTTTTCATACCACGACACCATGTCACATACCGACCACCTCTCAGCTTTTTCCAAGCACTCTCAGTGTCGGAAAATATTACAAGATACAGAATTCTCTGAGATGACATTAGTAGAATATGTCCAAGCCACCGAAGTTGATGCTTAAAGATAGTGACACTAATTGAATTATCGTCACTGTGTACGAACATACGATGCCGAACCTCCACATTACTAACATGGTGTTGCTACTGGATGTCAGCAATCCTTCAGAGACAACGATGATCAAACACAGAGAGCCGTCTAACATCGTCAACTCGGAGAAGCCAGGTTTCGTAAGCTAGAACAAAACTGCTCTCACTGACGCGTTGTAAATCCAACCTTTTACAGCCAGACTAACATCACGCCAAAGGTGGCCCAGATTGGCATAAGCCTCTCTGGCTTCCACTATACGTGCATCAATCTCATCACACGCCTTCACCAGCACTTATGCAGCTACCTAGATACACGAACTTCTCGACTACTTCTATCTGCACATCACCCAGGATGGGTACAGGATTATAATCCTGCCAGTCTTGTAGGAGTACTTTGCACTTTGAAGGTGCAAAGCACATACCATACCTATGGACACTGATTGCCGACTGATTAAGTGCGGATTGCATGGCTTGGGCATTATCGCACAGTAAGACAATATCATCCGCATACTCAAGGTCAAGAAGTCCTTCTCCAGGCAACGGGTCCACACCGCCATTTCTTACATTCATCAGAGCTGTTTTGAGAATGTCATCGATGGCAACGTTGAAGAGGAATGGTGAGATTGGGAGACACTGTCTAACCCCACTGCTTGAATGGAACAGTGAAAAAAGGTGGTTGTATGCCCTCATTCTGCCTGAGGTGTTTGTATATAAGGCCTTTAAGATGGTAATAAACTTCTCAGGCACACCCTTCTTCAAAAGACAATCCCAGAGAGCAATCCTATGCACCGAATCGAAAGCAGCCCCGATATCAAGAAACACTACGATTGTTGGCCTGTAATAAATATGACGGTGTTCTAACACTTGGCGTAGGGTGGAGATATGACCAATACATCCTCGAACAAAACGAAATCCAGCCTGCTCCTTGCGAATCAATCTTTCTCGAGTTTTGAAGAACCTACGATGTATGACAGAAGCCAAAAGTTTGTACGCAATCGGAAGTAGACTTATCCCCCGATAGTTGTTACAGGAAGGATGTGAAACCTTTTTAAAGATAGGGACAACTGTCGACTCATTCCATGACGTTGGAACACTCTCTATCTCTCAAACCTTTGTAAACAACGCAGTCAATTCCTCAGCCAGAAAGTCACCACCATCTTTAAAAAGAGCTGGAGGTAAGTCATCTGGGCCCTGTGATTTGTAGCGTTTCAAGAGTTGAAGTTCCTTGCGCACTTCTGCTTCATTTGGTGGATCAGTCGTCACCGGCCATGGAGGACAGGACAGTCTGATCGATGTTGCTGGGGCAGCAGGTCAGTTGAACTGCCCTTCGAAGAACTCTACCCGTCGCCCAAGACGTCGATGGATGTTAATAATTGGCATCCCGTCATCCACACAGATTGTTTCACCCACACCAGACGTCTTTCTGCCAGTGGCTCGGATGAGTTGGAAGAGCTTCTGGCAGTTATCAGATGCAGCTGCTGCTTCCGTCTCATTATCACGCTCCGACCACCAGGCTTCTCGGTCCTTACGCAAGCTTTGCCCAATTTTATTACGTAAGAGCCGTTTGTGGTCAAACTCACAGTCACCTGGGGTAGACTGACGGGCTTCGATGAGTTGTACGGAGCCTGAAGAAACCGATTGCTTATAAGCTGGACGTTTCGGGAAGCCGCAAGCGACTTTACTCGCCATTTTCATGTCATCATGCAGTTGTAACCAATTCTCATCTATACTTTTCAGTGGGATGGAGGCTAGACTAGAAGCTAGCTCGGTCTGATACTTACTTGCAACATAAGTTGCAACCGATTTACTAACATCAATTCGTCAATTCTTCGGCCACTGAAAAGTAAGGTAAGATTGGCGCAGACCATGGCACGATCAGAGTCCAGATAGGTACTCCAAAAGGAGCGGCAGTCTTGTACACAACTGCTCCAGCGGTAGCTGATCGCAATGTGATCAATCTGAGTCCAGGCTTGAGATGCAGAGGGACGACGCCAGGTGACACATCGGCGATGGCTGTGCTGGAAGCTAGTGCTAGCCAGAAACAGGTTGTATTCTGTGCACAGTTGCAGTAGACGATCTCCGTTATCTGTCCTGCGACCAACAAGTCCCCATCGGCCGACTAAACGATTCTCTTCTGTGCCTAGACGCCCGACCTGTGAATTTAAGTTTCCGGCTAGTACTACAATATCTGTCGGATGCAATTTCTGGAGAAGAACAGTTAATTGGTGGTAGAATTCTTCCTTGATTGCATCCGGGCTGCAACCTGTCGGGGCATAGGCGGGTATGACGAAAAGACACCGTTTCTCACGCCGGTTTCTTCTCACTTTGATGGAGCTTTCTAATCTAACAGCATATAACCGACTGTTAATGGGAATTCAATCGATTAGTGCTGCCTCAGCTCTAGCGCTTAGTGCTACACCAACGCCATCAAGACCAGAAGTTTCAAGAGGGTCCCCGGGTAAACGCACGTAAATCTTATGAAATGACAATCATTACATTGAATTCCAGAAGTTTTAGTGAAATCCAATTTTAGATTATCTAGACCAGTACTTAATAGTATTAGAATCTAAGATGAGGGTTTGGTTCTATTCATAGCCCATCAACTGAATATGCATGACCCATAGTCTAGTATTGCTGTCCCACAGGAACTAGAACCCATTACGATATTCCAATACCGGTTTTGTTATCTGATTAGTTGACTATTCATAAATGCTTATCTTTGACAAGACTTTCGATTTGAAATTTTTTGTTCAAGTCTTTCAAGGTTATGCTGATGGGTTTTCGTTAGCATGTAAGCTGGTTGCATAAACGTTCATATTGTTTTTAATGATGACTTGGTCGTATTTTATGTTAAGTATGTTTGAAATTTTTTATTCACTCCCCTCCCCAGTTTTAAGTGATTACCCATTTTATATTTGTTCTTTTTCTGACTATGTCATCTGTTTTTGTTATGAAGTTTTAGCTTTACCTCAATCAATGAGTGAATATATTCGAAGTCCTCTGATAAGATTAATGTATGAAAAGTTGGATCATCAAAATAAACATTCGAACTCAAATCATGACCATGTAATTATGTTCAATTATTTTCATAATATACTTTTTATGATATTTTCAATCTTATCGATGTAGTGGTATGATTATCGCACTGAATATGTAGATTCCGAACTTCGGGATAAGTTTATTAAATCGAAACAAGATGAAGAAACTTGCAAATTTTTAGAAAATTGCTATATCAAGTCTGACTGGTTATTTACACACTTTTATCATGCCATTGCTAAAGCTGTTTTAACTTGGTTCATGACTTCAACTTCTATAAATGGGTAATTGATCTTAATCCATTGCTCTTATCTATATTTTTTATTTTACTTCAAAAATATGAAAATTTCACCTGTAAAGGTATTTTATATAAATATCTAATCAGACACTACGATCACATTTGACATCATAATGTGATCTCCATCATGAATTAACATCACGCAGTAAGCCATTACAAGCTGAAAATGTCGCAGGACACTCATAAGGTTATAGCTTAAGGCTTAACATTGTGGTTTTACTACCACGTATACCGAGTGTGTGAAATATTCGGAATTATCCAGTTGGTATGTATAAAATCAATTATTAATAGTCAATTAAACTGAAGTTCAAATGTCTGAGTTGTGGTATGATGGCAATAGCCGTAATAATAATGATGGTCATTCAGGAATCGTGCATACTATTATTACTATAACCAGATGGTGAGTGAAAATCCTAGGATCACAAAAAGACTAAACAGATAGTTTTTGTGCAGTTAAATTCTGTCTGAGAATCTAGTGACAAAAAAATTGCACTCATAAAACTAACTTTAAGAGCTGCACTTTTATCAACCTGGTATTCTGTATGAATTTTCTGTAGGTTGACTGCTAAATTTCACTTACATATGCCTGTATTAAATAATTCAGAATGCAATGATGCAACTCTTTTCAAATCTAATGAAGGACTACCAGAAAAACTCCAGTCTATCATTTCTACTCGTGACATCCTATGAATAGTGATTGGTCCTAAAATCCCACATTTATTGTAGTATTATCGGCGTTTTATCATTCACGTTTGGAAACCCCATCATCTTCAATTGAAAAGCTATGCTGATTTTACTGATTATGATATCCTTAAGGTATCGAATAGAAATAATGTAAATCTCTTTACTCTTATTTAAGATCGGTACCTGTAGTCGATCAGTGTTCGAAACTATCTAAACAATTGTATTATGCTTCAATATTAATTTGGGTTTTTCTAGCATTCATTTATCTTTATCTTGTCCTTCTCACCAATAGCTTTTATAGCAACTTAGTATACAATTACTGTGAAGACTCCGCATCGCTAACTGCTTTGTGATGATTAGGTTTGTCTATTATTAGGTTGAACCAGTTTAGAGTATTAATATTTTAAATTTGTATGCTATCATGACTAGTCAATGAAATGTTTTTTTTTGGATCGAAAAAAAGTAATTGTTATATAGTGAGAAATATCTTTCTAATCAACATCCAATGATAAAATATTAGTATGTTCGTATTGTATTTTTTGTGCTCTAAAGTACCAATGAAAGATAATTTGACTACCCACCATATAATTTTGGAGGCATTTATCGGTATAACGCCTCGAGAATCGTATCTGTAATTATATTTACCATGAAAAGGTTTGTGTCAGTTCGGAACATATGTTTATCAATCAAAGAAGTAGGACTTCAGAATTCCAATTTCTGATTCATTGAAAGATTACAGTTTCATTATTCCTTCATTGTAGATAGTTGCCACCATTTTTATTTTTAATACACGTTATTCTGGCTAGTTTTCAAATTCCTGAGCATATCAAAAACATTATATTAATTAGTATACTAGTCTTTTTGATATTGGAGAGGCTTTAAATAATTTGATCAGCGAATTTGCGATCGTTAAAATAGACAAAAAGAATGCCGGTACGCAAGGTTCCGATGTAGTTGTGTGATAGCTGCTCACCAGGCTGAATTTTTGATACAAGCTCCGGAAAATTGAGAATGAAAAATAAAACTACCCAGAAAAATAAATTTTATGCAACAGAATGCCATACTTGTACATAAATTATTACCGCGAAAAAGAAAATGATAAAATCTTACAAGGGGCTGAGGAAAATCAGCTTGTAGGTCATCCACTTTCCAACCAATTCAGACCTGATTGTTGGACCTAATTCTTGTGCATCGTTTCACTTTTGTTAGTCGGTTTGTTTTCTCTTATCTATCTAATAAACCTGCATATTTCAACCTTTTTTTTAAAAATTCTGTCCATTTATGTATTTTTCAAGTTTAGTTGGTCGTGGTTCTATGTTTGTTTTCTCATCGGCACAATTTCTTCGCTTACTTGATGTTAACGATAGCTTCAAATGGAATTCTTTACTCGACTTAGGTAGGTAGATAATTGATTATATATATATATATATATATATATATATATATATATATATATATATATATATAACTGAGGGCCGCTTTGTATCATGCTGACAAGTCTACATTGTCTACCTGTGCTTCGTAACGACAATCTTATCATAAATACTTGTAAAGTATAACTTCTCCATATACTTGCAAAGTGCATAAAGTGGATCCCTAAGAAAAAAGATTATTTTAACAAAAAATATAGTTGGACAGGAAATTTTAACATTTGAAAAAAGCCCTCTAATACAAGAATCCCATTGAGCCAGTTAGATAAAGTAAGATATGTCTTCATTATGCAATTGCAAAGTACCTTACGACCTTACTGCAAAAAGGGGATAATTCTTAAATTTTTTCTTGTTTTAAATTTATGCTAATGATACTGTCTAAAGTTATAATAAAAGTTTTGGCATCAAACTATTCAGCTCAAAGAACATAAACCCATTAAACAGATTCATTTGAGCTAAAAAATACTACAATCATTGAACAAAGCAGTTAATTGGACCAAAGACTTAATTGCTTCCGTTTTAATTTAACATCGATCTCTACTTATGAATTAAGTAATTCTTTTTAATTATTCAAGCATTCATTGAAATCGCGATAAAGAAAAATAGGATAGGATTATATATATATATATATATATATATATATATATATATATATATATATATATATATATATGTTATTTTTTGGACATATGAGTAGTACACATCCACCTCAACATTAGTCTCTTAATTGTCAACGTCAGTGAGAGCAGTTTTGTTCTAGCTTACGAAACCTGGCTTCTCCGAGTTGACGATGTTAGACGGCTCTCTGTGTTTGATCATCGTTGTCTCTGAAGGATTGCTGACATCCAGTAGCAACACCATGTTAGTAATGTGGAGGTTCGGCATCGTATGTTCGTACACAGTGACGATAATTCAATTAGTGTCACTATCTTTAAGCATCAACTTCGGTGGCTTGGACATATTCTACTAATGTCATCTCAGAGAATTCTGTATCTTGTAATATTTTCCGACACTGAGAGTGCTTGGAAAAAGCTGAGAGGTGGTCGGTATGTGACATGGTGTCGTGGTATGAAAAAAAGTAGTATAAAACGTTCTTCTTTTGGTTCTTCACGACTCCCTGGTTGGGGTCCGAGAGATAGTGCAACACAGTGGCTAGAGACGTAATCAGATATGGCTCAGAATAGAAGTCAATGGCGATCCTGCTGTAACTTTCTCCATAAAAAGTGGATGTAACTTCTTTAAGTGGAAGAATTTTTTCTTGTTGTACTTTTGCTAACTGAACTGACTCTCTCATTATTATTATTTCACTATCGTGCACTAATTTCTGTTCGTTATTGTTCTCTCTTCGCGTATACACACTTTACATTCTCTATCTCTTCACATTCTTATTGTTATTGTTTGGCGCTTATGTATTTTGGTACCACTTTGTACCAATATTTATGTTCGAATAAATAAATAAATAGTCTCTTAAATAATTATGCAGACATTTTATAAATACAGCATTCATTTGAACTTCATCTGTCTATTTGATTCAGTTAGAATGATTTCATTTCATATGAATAGACGATAAAGTGAAACTATGTTTTAGAAATTAATTCTTTTTCCCACTAGTAATCATTTGGTTTGTGTAGCGTATATGTATTTCATACCCTCTTGTATCAGTTTATGTACTCAAGTAAATAAAAAAAATAAATTCTCTAAAAATGATCAACTTATGTATATGTTAATTTACTTACGATGTAATTTCTTTTTGTAAAACCAAGCATTATAGTGACCGCGTTACCTTAAGCCATTAAGTTGGCACCTGGCGTTCACTCATAGAACCTCATTTGATTCGTTGTATTATGCGTCCATCATCTATTATTATCGGTGAAAACCATCTCACTTCATAAAATATTTGGAATCTGCTAATCACTTCTTTGACAACTACTATAACTATAAAGTTATTATTATTATCATTACCAGTTACAGCAGTATTTCTTTACATAGATAAGACGAGATTTTCCTTATTGCGAATAAATTTTAAATCATGAATTGACGCCAGCAGATAACCACAACCCGTTAAAGAATTTTACCCGTTGCCCTCAGTTATTTCGGTGAGAGTGGAACTATTAAGCTATTGAGTCGAAAACAACTATTTATTAATAAAAGAAACATAAAAAAAGTTTTTAGCATGGTTTACGAATTTCGCTATCAATATTTCAATTTTAAAAAATAATTCATGATTGTGTTAAACTTTTTTCTGAAATATAGGTGCTGGTGATGGCAATGTGACATTGAAAATGGCGCCTTACTTTAAAGATATTTTCGTCACAGAAATTTCTCCAGTTATGCGTTGGCGTCTAAGTAAACATGGCTTTACGTAAGTTGACTGATTATATTTTATCAATTTTAGGTAATGGTTATAAATTATCTTCTATTGAACGAATACGAGAATCTTTTGAACAAACAATATTTCACGTAATTTTGATTGTCGCATGAAATTTATTTTAATCAAGATAAATTTGATACATTAAGAAGATTTACTTCAATTTATTTAATCCCTTATAATGCTTTTTTTTGTTAACAGAATATTAGACGTTGATTCTTGGGAATTAGTGAATAAAGAATTGAATACACCCAAAATTCCATCTCATTTTGATGTTATTAGTTGTTTAAATTTATTAGATCGTTGTACAGCTCCGATTACTTTGTTGAAACGGATTAATCAAGCTTTGAAACCTACGACGGGCATTTTAATTCTTGGAATAGTTTTACCATTGAAACAATATGTTGAAAGTAAGTTTGTATTTTTGGTTGACATTAAATTTTTGTCTTAATTTCATGACAGATTAAGCTGACCTATTGTTCTGCTTCATCATAATAAGTTGTTTTCATCAACAATTTATTTCGATGTTAACACTTTAACTTTATAGGAGTTAGTCTGTAATACGTTGATCTGGTTGACATTCAATACAGGTACTCATAAAAAGAAATTAAACTTAAGGTAGAACGGCTCCGTATAAATTATAACTAACCATGTTCTTGGAACATAGCAATATTAGCAAAATAAATGGAAAAACAGTCAGTCGAATATCAGCGAAGATCACTGAGGAATATCAATTGAAAAAATGTTATCACGGTTATCCTTGATTATAAAGTCATCATTTATTAATAAAAACAATATAGCCTAAGATAATCCCAGTAAACTTGTAAATTGTTTAATTCTTAAAAACCATATATATTGATTGCACTTTTAGACTAAATCACCTAGTCTATCTAGTGACTAGTAATTTCCATTATCCTGGAGATTTCATCCCAAAAATCCATTCATCTCCACACACCTTAATCAGAGTGACAGTAAATACATCAGCTTTTATAATTTCATGGTTAAACTACACTTAAACTTTTAATACTTCATCCTTGCTCAATCAGTATTACACGTCTTCATGAATGAAAATTTACCATACTCAATATTTGACCGAGGAAATTCATTCGGTGTAAGCTCACGACCACACTTACTGGACTGTTGTTTTTGTCTAGAGAGATTATGTTATTTAAATTAATTCCTACTACAGGGAGACCTTTTCTGTGATTTTGACTAATCTGTGGAAATCAATTTCATTTCTTGTATTCCGATTCGACTGAATTTAGAACTGCTTACCGAATTTTGCCTCAGTAATCTCGTTTAGTCAGCCACACGCAACGTAGAACCTGGTAGATGTGCACATCGGCTCAGGCTAGCACTACCCCATTGATGCAGAGATGAATTAGTCAGGGTAAATCCCAGAGTAGTAGAGCTAGGAACAATAATAATGCTAATAGAAAAATTAAACGTCCAAAACAGTCCACGAAAAAAAATTAATTGGTGCAGCAATTACAAAGTTATAAGGAACTTAGAAAGAGTGAGTGCACCCGGGCCATTGGGAATGATTTCAAACCATATCGTTAAAAGTCCCTAACTATTGATTACGATATTATAAAAGTATTGTTTTCATCCCTAGACCTGAAAACTCTGGTTTCGATCCTGTTTGTTTATTGATGGTTGTATTTAAAAAGGGATAACAAGAAACACGTTCCAAACATGCTTGCATCGTTTCCCAGTGTGATTATAAGACTTCATTTTGTCAGTTTTCGCCAAACCAAACTATGTCTTTTGCTTATTTGAAGTCAACAAATTAATCCATTCCATTGAAATCATGAACCGATCAACGTTAGACCAGCATTCAAAACCTGGAAGCGCTGGATGGTCGTTGGGTGGCGACTCAGCGGTTTGGAGGTTAAACGTTCTTGCGTCAAGCCGAAGGTCTTGGGTTCGGATCTTGCTTGCGGTATCGTAGATGCGCACTGCTGAGGAATGCCATACTAGAAAGAAATGGCCGTTCAATGGTGGTCTTACATTGATCGATTCATGATGCCAATGAAATTCAGCAGTCTCCACAACCCCAAGCTGAAAATTAATCTATTGGTAGGAGATTGATCCATCAAAGGTTAAAAGAAGAAAGCGTTATGTCTAAAAGGACGTTTACGATGAAGATACATAAAATTGTGAAAATTGGCCAACCCTGTTAAACATTATTTGAGGTTAATGGTTTCAAAGACAGCCATAAGCTCTGAATTGACTAGGAGTATATTATTTAAAAAAAATACTAATTTATCTTGTTCGCTTATTGTTGAAGAGGATTATTTTCTCTCACTTAATCACTATTTTATAAACAAAATTCAGTTTTAAAAATACTTTTTTTATACCTCATTTGTATTCAAATATTTTTTTCTATGTAAAATCACCTTTTAAAGCAACTCGTGATCAACGTCCTATTGAAGTGCTTGAAATTATTGACAATGAATTATGGGAAATACAATTGTCTAGCTTAATTAATAATATTCTTATACCAGCTAATTTTCATGTTCTACGTTGGACACGTTTACCTTATTTATGTGAAGGTGATTTTTCTAAATCATTTTACTATTTAAATGAAATTGTACTTGTTTTGCAAACTGTAACATCTAGTATTTGAAAGAAAATAATCTACTTCTAAGCAAACAAACAGATTAATGATTTCATAATATTTTATATTAATATTGATACTTTTATCAACCTAAATTGTTTCTTAATTTTATTCTGGTGAACATTTCAAATGTACATGATTACCATTATTATTGGTGTTTGTGAGAACTTTCATTGTTTATTTTGAAATAGATACTATTGATTTCAATACAATAAAGAAGTTTATTGACTTTTTAATTATTACTATTAGTCTCTCCTGAATTACTAGATAGTAACTACTGTTACAGAAGGCTCGTCTAGCTTTCGCCAACTTACGTCATTTATGGCGTAGGCGAGATATCCGTCTAGCAACAAAAGGACGGGTTCACTGTGCAACAGTTCGTTCCGTCCTACTTTATGGCAGTGAAACATGGCCAATAAGAGTAGAGGATATTCGTAGACTACTAGTATTCGATCATAGGTGTCTTCGACGCATTGCTCGTGTATCCTGGGACCACCGGGTAAGTAATGCAGATGTTAGGGAACGGGTACTAGGTAAGGATGGCAAATGGATTGATGAAGTAGTGAAACTTCATCAGTTGAGATGACTGGGACACGTGTTACGTATGCCCAACCACCGACTGCCCCAACGTGCAATGCTTTATGGTGTAGGAGTAGGTTGGAAGAAAGTTAGAGGCGGCCAGACCGAAACGTGGCACAAATCCATGAAGTCGCTGACAAGTGGACTGGGCCGTGTTGGTAGGTGTAGACTACCTGGTTGTGATTCGCGATATGATAGCAACCGATGGTTAGAGACCTTGAATGACATGACTCAAAATCGTTGGCAGTGGCGAAGGTGCATCCACTCTTTGTGTTCTACGGAATTCTAATCTGAATTATTTATGTCCGTATCCTTTTTCTCTTTCCAAATTTATTTCACTGGATTATACTCCTTCAATAACATCTTCAAACCCTGATCTTTCACATAATGCCTATACTCTTACTACTTCTACGACTATGGGATTTGAATCGACAACTTCAACTCTGTGCTAATGTGGTATGGTAACTCGAACTGATGTACGTACGTACGAAGTTCTATGTTGTAACTGACTGGATTAGTGTGATTAATTTTTTTTTTTGGATTATCTCATCACAGTAATTATAGAGTTCAATAAATTTATATGCTTTTTATACTATCAAGAGTTAATTTTCAATCATATAAATGATGAAATGGATGATTTAAACGTTTACCCAATAGTGATTTATTTAAAGTCACTATTTTAGGCTGTATTAAAGCTGTTGGGGTAGGATATTATCAATATCTAATTTATGATTAATATCGTCACTTCATTTGAATAATACTACTTGTTAGTTGATTAGATCAGTGAACATCATCTACTTGTCCGTTTTTACTATTATAATTTTGAGTTGCTTAAAAATGTTTATAAGTAGTTATATCTTTGTTATCTTATATTCTACTGTTCAATAAAACACGAGATAATAGTCGAGTGTTTTTAAAATAATTTCTTACTAAAACATGAAGTGATTTCATCACATAAGATACTAATTATTTGTGTTGATGACAAGACACACAACCGATTGATATTATGCGTCATTTGACAAAGGTATGGTTTTATTCGAAACAGAATTGCTATTAAATACTACGTAATTATTTAACTGATGCTACGATTTCTGTATTGATAACTAATCTGTTCAGGGTTGCTAATAATACCTTTACAAATCATCGCTATTGGCTATGATGTCATTAAAAATGGAATAACTTTCAGTGAGAATAAGACAACGATACTTAATGTGTGCTACATCTAACGAATCGATCAAACCTCAATAGATAAAATAAGTTTCACACTGTTGTTTACTCAAATATGAAATTTTATTGTAAGTAATGCACATTTTATTATTGATAAGGATAACATAGAATCTCTCATAAGTTTGGATAAGTTCATGTTATTATATCAGCTTAGTAAATTGACAGCACAGAGAAAAAAATCAAAACAAGATAACGGCATTCAAAGTTATGTAAAGCTAGTAGAAACGAAAATATTAAAAGTCGAACCGAAGAATGATGTGTCTGTCAGTTTAAAGTAATTATTCTTCATTATAACTAAAATTAGTCATATTCCCCTATTATGAAGTAAATTGTAAATGGTATCCAAAAACTTTGTAGAGTACTGACCAGATAACCACTGTGATAGAAAGCCAGCGAAACCGTGTAGCACATGTATGAAATATGAGTAAAACTGTGTTGGTTTAGGCTTATATTATAGAATAGAGAACAAGTCCTGTGAATTATTATATAATGTACAATTAATGAAATGTAACAATCAGACACGTGGAACTTTCTTCATTCATGCCGATTGTCCCACAACAAATTTGACGTCACAGGATTTGCTGAACATTTTAGCACCAAAACGTGGTTTCAAATTCCTTACGAAACCACACTTAAGTTTACACCGCCTTATGATAATTCATTTAATTATAATCTTATACATAATTTTATGTAATAATGTCTCTGTACATTAATATAATTTATATTCAGAGTTTTGATCTTGCATATGATATACCCTGATATCCTAACCATCGCTTTATCTCATAGCTTCGGCAATCATGAAAGGAAGATTTATTGATAAAGTCTAGAGAACATTGATTTACACAAATAGCAAACCAGAAAATGTATGCAGAGTATTTGGAAATAGGGTGAACATTTAGCACGCTGAAACAGTCACGGACTATTACGAGAATAGCTTTAATGGTGTAAAAGACACGTTTTCTCCCATGGCATGAAGGAACTGCAAGTCAGATTTTTAATAAATCAACAAGGAAATAAAATCGTTTCTGAGTATTAAACATGTTGAAACTAGTTGATAGGCAAATCACCATTCAGTCTACTAATTATTTAAATAAATCCCAGTCATATTCATTTAATTAGTTTCTTAATTAAATCTCATTTAACCCTTGTTTTCTCTTTTGTCCATCGCGTGCTACTAACTATTATTAGGTATTATGAGCAATTGCTAGCGAAATAGTGTAACCACTCTGATTTCACTGGATTGTGTAGTAACGAGTCACTAATTTACTTAACAAATATAAGAATCTCAGCGAGATCATTAACACTAAATACTTGCGCTGAAATCTAGTTGATAAATCTCATAGGATAAAATGTGAGTCCTTGTATTCTATTAATGATCACCATTCAAAGTATTATTAGAAATGTTCCATTTGTCTTATTATTAACTTGTATGTTTATGCAGGATTCCAACATCTGTAAACCAAAGTGACTTATCATTTCTGTTCTAAATATCAGAAAATAAGAAGTACACACTTTTACAGTCGATAGTCATTTCATGTTTATAAATAATTAGTACTGTAACTGACGATACTACACGGCTGCTCAATATTCAAGCTCACCAGTTTATTTTTTAGAGTAAAATAACCTCATTTATCTCCAAATTTATGTTGACTTAGTGTAGTGGTTTATTCCGAATTCACTTATACCATGAATGTTACATTTCTAAGCTAAGTAGCTAAACAAGAAACTTATACACATTCACCAGTGTAAAATAGAACTTTGATTTTGCCATAAATTCTTAATTAAAATTAGACATCAGTAAACTATCAGCCGATAGATTTTCATATTTAGTATTGGTTCGGTGTACTTTATATTGATTTGTCGTTCGGTCTAACCAACAAGATCTGATTGTATGCATGCGCAACACAAATTCACCAAAATCTTTAGACGTATAAAAATAAAGGAAACTAATCGAGATGACTATTTTAATAAATCGAGTCACTTTGTGATTGTGATTTACTCAATCGACCATCTGAATATATGAATGATATGATTGATTGGTGAAGATTACATGCAAACAAGTATATGTGGAAGGAAAGAAAGAACTAGTAAAACAGTGGTTGTTTTCAGTGGAATCAAACAAGCAGAAATTAAGTAAACATAATATGCCTGATTAAAACTTATTGTAAACATTATTGATCATAGAATATGTGTCCTGTTTTCGACCATTCACCAACCCCCAATCATTATCAAACTTAAATTCTCGCTAACCATATTGGTAACTTCAGAACGTAGAATTATCAGGTTTGTTGTGAAATGTGTGAGTTGAAGCATGGAAGTTATCACAACATCACTTGATTAATGAGGGTATGTAATTTCCCGTTATTGATACTCAAGACTACAATTGAGTTTATGTGTAGTCTGATGAGATCACTTTCTTATAGTGTTGCATGAGAAATGTATCACATAGCAGCTCAGTAGTAAACACTTTGGACACTTGAATTCAAAGTTACTGGGTTCGAACTTCGGTGTAAACATCAACATTACGGTGTAGATACACCCAAGTGGCGAGCCTCAATTTTGATGTAACCTGTGTTTTAGACCCAACACTACTTGTTAATTTTGACTCACATGTAACCTGATTAAATGTATGTGAATTATCCAGTGAAGGTTCACGTAAATGTACGCTTAGTCACCGATTATTTGATATGTTTCCATGTAGTTTAGTTTTTAAAATATTGTATGGCGAAAACAGTGTTTTAAACTGATGGTGTGTTCCTTCAAATTTGACTGAATAAAAGAAACAGTCATAGCTATGCTTTCATGACTGATATCGAAAATCTATTGTGAATACAATGTTCTTCCCTAATTTGTGTTGTATGCAATATAAGCTATATTGCCAATGTTGATCTGAAAGTCTCATATGAGAATTGAGGTTCACCATTACTTTGCCAAGTTTTGCTGACTGTTCATGCTCAAAATTGATTTGCTGGTTAACCTATTTCATTCATACTGGTGGTTGCTTTTTAGTGTTCTCAAGGGCCATTGTTTTCGGAACATTGTAAGACATGTCACCATTGCTTACCGTAATGAGTTTGACGGTTGTGTGGCAACATGGGCTAGTGTAAATTTGTGTCACAATCTACATTGATTATGACTGAGTGATCGAAGTTCACCAGTTTTGTCTTCTGTGTTAATTTCATTAGGTATTCATCTGTCGTAACATTTGTTTTTCGCATAAATACACTAGACTCTTGATTTAATGTAATGTCATATCAGGCGAGTGATAATTTTTCATAAGTGATGAGAATTATTAACCTATTGATTATAACGTGTTTGATTCGATTATAGTAAATTAACATTAGACGGTTCTTTTGAACTCTTATGGTACATACGGCAAACTGCTTAATAGAGATCACTGTAATCGAATCCGCTATTCATCAATCGCTGGAAGTGATTGTAGTAATTACAATATCGTTTTTAGATTATCTTTGGAAAAACCAATGAATTATGTGGTGTTAGGAATTGATAAATTATCACGACCACAATTACACGTGTTTGATCAAGTAATTAAAAGAAATATATGTATGACACTTACTATACTGACATAAACACAAACTGGGTGTAAAATAATATGAACTATCTAATTAGATCACTAGTATACAGTTTATGAATGTATGTTTGGCCATCATGTAGTTTATTTACAGTTACTAAATTGATAATTAGCTAATAAATGAAAACATCTCACCAGGCTATAAAGGTCTAGCTGGTCCCGTACATGTCAGTCGTATTAGAAAATCAACTTCAGTTTGTTTGTTACATTTGAGTTGTGAAGCTTCCCTCTCTATGACACGTACACTAGGTTTTAGTATTAGAGAATGTAATTTCATACTTGTTCATATAATATCTTCGGAGAAACTATGAGAGAGGGTTTGTAACCGTAGTACAAGTTTTGGCAACTTTGATTATCAGCTTTATATCACTGATAGACTTGATTTATATCAGATACACTCTATTTATTGATCAATTTCGATTTCTTTCCATTTGTCAATTATAATGATATTATACAAACTGCATCAGTAACTTCTCAGTCAATCAGCAGGAAGATCTAGACATAGGTTTCGTGCTAGTCGATATTTGTCAGCGCAGTGTTTTCGATTTCTCAAATTAACTTGTCTATTTAATTACCAAATTGTTTGTCTTGACCGGTTGTGATCGATTTAATAAAGCATTTTTTTGAAGTTAACTGCATTTACTCCCTACTTAATGCTTTTATTATGTTTTGAAACTACTAATTAGGATAATTGTTTTGCACAAAAGTGATGTTATATATTAGTTTATTTTTTCTAAAAAAAGCCTAGTCAGTTACGTTTTATGAATTAGTAAACAATAGATCTTCTAACTGTTGCTTGTTTTACTTGCAATCATTTCTGTATTTTATTTATGAAAAATCAGTTGAACTGAAAAGAAAACATGTATACTTTTTGATAAATATGTATCATTATATTGTACTGGATCTCAGAATGAATTACAATGTCACAGAAAAACAATCCTGTGTAGATAAAGTCGATTGAACATAGAGATTCTTCGACTAGTATTTATATATTTCACAAGTATAAAATAAAACTAGTTGTTTAGGGAACTTTTTATGATTATGTTAACATCATAATAGCTTCAAGAGTAGACTATGTAGGCTTGAACCACTTCACTTTTCATTGTACTTAAATTGATCACAACCGATACATATGCAACTGTTAAAATACACTAATGTGTAGAGTATTTCCAATTGTATTTTGGAAATCATAGATGTTTAAAAATCTTCACATCAGTCTTACAGAATTAGTCTACATTTGAAATGTGCACATTATATTTTCTACCTATTGACAGTGATTGCTAACCGACTACACGAGTTTGACATCTTTTAAATCACCCTCATAAATCAGTCACTCTTTGTGTGTGTGCTGTTGATATGATCTCACTGTCCATACAGAAATTTGCAACCCTGTTGTTTGAAAGTTCGATTTTTTGTATATGAAGTTTCTGCCTCACATATGAATCACTAATTCATGATTTATATTATTTTAAATTCCATTTTGTTCTAATAGGTTGATTTGTCTATCCAAACATAAATATTAATGAAATTTTCGTAATTTAAATCACGAACCGATCTCAGCTAGACCACTTCTGAAAACTTGGAATGATTAGGTAGCTGTTTTGACCTAACCTCTATTAGTTAAAAATACTGCTCAACCATCATCTATTGCTAGCTTTAAGACGAAACTCCGGGAGATCCTAGCAACTAGTGGGGTTCAACCATTTCGGTTGGAAGACAGTTATCCACCACAGGCAACGGATGTAGATTGTTCAATATTATGAATTGGTTGAGGTTATATATGTTCACTAGTGGATGCCAGCTCGGTGGTCAGCGGTTAAACATTCGTGTGCGAGACTGGATGTCCGAAATTTGTTTCTGGAGCGTGAGGTCGTGGATACTTGTTGTTGAAGAGTCCCACACTTGGACTATACACCAGCTCAATTTGATCGTAGAATACAACATCGGTTAAACAAATCAGTTGAAATATATAGTGTTTTCCGAACTAATAAAAGTTCATTTTGATCAAACTTATCTCACAAAATTATACAGCTAAAGAATTTTGAATGCACAATATAATTTCAATTCGTAATAAGAATCACTTTCAAATTATACGGAATTTTGTATAAATGTACATGATTGTCGAATCATCAAACAGATGTATAAAATTTTTGACTAAGTTTCGTTACAGACCTAAACCATACAGGTAATGAATACATTTTTTTTTTTGAGTGAGGATATGAACAGCTTCATAGGACGTACCTCTATGCTGTACTTCATGAGAAAGAGAATATCGCAAAAACAATACTATAGGGAATGAAAATTTCACAAAAAGCTTGATATTTGGTTAAAATCAAATTCGAAACTGAGGTCAATGAAAATATACTTCATTTACTTTCTTTGAAGTTAACTCAACTAGATTATTAAATTGATGATAGATCAAATGGTAGGGATTCTTGTGCTATAAAAATACATTTTAAAAAATCGTGATTAACAACTATGTAGCAATCTGATTGTGAATTCATAACGTCGTTTCGTCTACTTTGTAATGGAAATTATGAAAAATCTTCTACACAGTTACTTATAATCTAATGACAGACTCAAACATGCTGATCTTTTCTTCAATGAATCGGAACTTATAACGTTGAACAACTTATATGCAATATACGAGCACAAGAAAATATGGTTGAATCACTATTTTTGCGACAAGTTTTCGATTTCAATAGCGGATATACTCACAGAATTATGTGATGTATAAAAACATAGTCAACGTCTTGTATTTAGTTAAGTTTGTTTCCTTAAGAAAGCAAATTTTTAAATTATCAATAATAATTTTTTATACATTATGTCTACAAAACCATAGTGATTAGTTATTTTCCAATAATAAATGAATAACAAAAATCTTGTATAACGTTTGTTGAAGATGAATGGAGCAGAATACTGGTTTTCTAATTTAATAAAAATGGTCACAATAATGTAAAGACGAAGCCAGCTAACATATACTAAAGATCATATTCATGCATATTTTATTTAATTAATGATTGCTTGTTTGATTTCACTGAAAACAACCACTGTTTTACTAGTTCTTTCTTTTCACATATACACATTTTTGCTTACTATACTATAGATCGTCCGTTAAAAAGAAAATCAATTAATTATCTTTCTACATATGTAAACAAACATAAAGGAAGGGTATGATACGAGAAGATAGAACAAATCAATATAAAATCAATAAATAGTGCATAACACACATTTAAAATTGAATTTAAAGATAAATAAGAAATAGAAAATTTCACATTCACAACCATATTGTTCAATGATCAAAACACTATTGTATATTGAATAGAGGAACCAATTAACTATACAAAAATAAATATATGTGTACATTATTTATAAATTGTGCAAAAATTTAAATAAAAAAATAGATGGATATACAAAAGAGAAGTGATAATAAAGAAAATAAATGTATCCATTAATTATTTGCTTTTCATTTATGCTGTTAAAATAGACTTTGCATCAGATTTGACCAAACGACAAGATTTCAATTTGTTTAGAATAGCAGCGTTCCATGATAAACGATTTTTATTATATAAATTTAAATAAAGTCCAAATACAATTAATAGACCAGACCATATGTATCTAATTGATATATTTTAAAAAAAATAATGATAAAGACATCATTATTAGGGAACGAAATCCAAGGATCTATCTAAATACAAAGGAATTTGTGGAGATTATAGAATTCTCATAGTTTTTTGAATCATGAACTGATCATAACTAGACCACTATCGAAAACCTGAAAGCACTGAACAGGTGTATAGTCCAAGTGTGGGACTCTTCAACAACAAGTATCCACGACCTCACGCTCCAGAAACAAATTTCGGACATCCAGTCTCGCGCACGAATGTTTAACCGCTGACCACCGAGCTGGCATCCACTAGTGAACATATATAACCTCAACCAATTCATAATATTGAACAATCTACATCCGTTGCCTGTGGTGGATAACTGTCTTCCAACCGAAATGGTTGAACCCCACTAGTTTAAAACACTGTTTTCGCCATACAATATTTTAAAAACTAAACTACATGGAAACATATCAAATAATCGGTGACTAAGCGTACATTTACGTGAACCTTCACTGGATAATTCACATACATTTAATCAGGTTACATGTGAGTCAAAATTAACAAGTAGTGTTGGGTCTAAAACACAGGTTACATCAAAATTGAGGCTCGCCACTTGGGTGTATCTACACCGTAATGTTGATGTTTACACCGAAGTTCGAACCCAGTAACTTTGAATTCAAGTGTCCAAAGTGTTTACTACTGAGCTGCTATGTGATACATTTCTCATGCAACACTATAAGAAAGTGATCTCATCAGACTACACATAAACTCAATTGTAGTCTTGAGTATCAATAACGGGAAATTACATACCCTCATTAATCAAGTGATGTTGTGATAACTTCCATGCTTCAACTCACACATTTCACAACAAACCTGATAATTCTACGTTCTGAAGTTACCAATATGGTTAGCGAGAATTTAAGTTTGATAATGATTGGGGGTTGGTGAATGGTCGAAAACAGGACACATATTCTATGATCAATAATGTTTACAATAAGTTTTAATCAGGCATATTATGTTTACTTAATTTCTGCTTGTTTGATTCCACTGAAAACAACCACTGTTTTACTAGTTCTTTCTTTCCTTCCACATATACTTGTTTGCATGTAATCTTCACCAATCAATCATATCATTCATATATTCAGATGGTCGATTGAGTAAATCACAATCACAAAGTGACTCGATTTATTAAAATAGTCATCTCGATTAGTTTCCTTTATTTTTATACGTCTAAAGATTTTGGTGAATTTGTGTTGCGCATGCATACAATCAGATCTTGTTGGTTAGACCGAACGACAAATCAATATAAAGTACACCGAACCAATACTAAATATGAAAATCTATCGGCTGATAGTTTACTGATGTCTAATTTTAATTAAGAATTTATGGCAAAATCAAAGTTCTATTTTACACTGGTGAATGTGTATAAGTTTCTTGTTTAGCTACTTAGCTTAGAAATGTAACATTCATGGTATAAGTGAATTCGGAATAAACCACTACACTAAGTCAACATAAATTTGGAGATAAATGAGGTTATTTTACTCTAAAAAATAAACTGGTGAGCTTGAATATTGAGCAGCCGTGTAGTATCGTCAGTTACAGTACTAATTATTTATAAACATGAAATGACTATCGACTGTAAAAGTGTGTACTTCTTATTTTCTGATATTTAGAACAGAAATGATAAGTCACTTTGGTTTACAGATGTTGGAATCCTGCATAAACATACAAGTTAATAATAAGACAAATGGAACATTTCTAATAATACTTTGAATGGTGATCATTAATAGAATACAAGGACTCACATTTTATCCTATGAGATTTATCAACTGGATTTCAGCGCAAGTATTTAGTGTTAATGTTCGCGTTAGGTTTCTGATGTTCGAATATCGCCTTCTTGAACGTCTACATTCGCAGTTGATCCCTCCTCAATTATACTGCGAACCTATTCCTCTCTAAGCTGAGTTCCAAGATGTTATTCTTTAGTGACATTTCTACTACATCATTATAAGAGTTCATTCATGTGATTCGAAACAAGGGACAACCATGTATCAAACCCTCAAAAGGACGACTGACGGCGATATCGTTATCCATCGTCGTGTTTACATTGAGAGTCTCTAGGTTACAAAATGTCTATTTCTAGGCTAAAAGTGGATCTCTGATACGAAAACGTCGTTTTCTGAGAATACTTATAGCAGACGATCACCGTCAATCATTTTTTGCGATAGAATCCTAGAAAACCATCTGGAGTTTCTTTAAGCTCGGCTTGGTCTCATCCACTATGGGTTAAAATAAACAGTTATGATAACTACTTCTGAGCATCTAGATTTTTACCTGAGCCCAGGTGGTTCCCTATAAAAGTCATATTTTACTTTATCTAGACTGTAGTCGGCAATTACAAAGAAGAAATAGTATTCTGCTCTTCCCTTAAGATATGTCACTGTTTCTTTTACCAGAATGTATTTGAGCGACTGTCCAAATAAACCGGACTCGGGATTCCTTGTTTCATCCTCAAGCTAAGAGCTATATCTACACCAGTAAAACTACAAAAAGTTACAGTTGAGTCTCAAGACGCGCGAATATTTAGTTTCACAGGATCTTCAAAATTGGATTAACTGGCATCAAATGAATAAGCATAGCTATGTCTAAAATGTGAGTTTCTGAGACAGTATATTCGAGACGAATTAGAGTTTTGAATCGTAGACAGTAAAGCTTGTTGTCCAACTTGGCATATGGTTTTAAAATTTAAAGAACCAGGACGTCTTTTGGGGAGCGGTTTTAAGAGACGAGAGGTAACATTTCGTGACCTTGAGTCGTTAATACAGATGGTATATCCAAAATAAAAACATACAACATGGGAGAATATCACGAGAAAAGTGTTCGAGGCAATACAGCATGATTTGCATATCACAATAAATGAGAGTGGCAGTGACCTTTGAGCGACAACTCCACAAAAATCAGTTCATAAATCAAACTATCAAGAGAAATATTTGTTGGCAAAGAAACACCAAAGATTATGCACAAACTAATAATTTAAGAAATGTATCAAAGAAAGTGATGTGCTCCCATCCCAACGTCTTTTACTGAATCTGAGAAGTCACATCTACTTTTCAGGAGGGGAAGGTGGTACACTCGATCAACCAGAAATTGGCTAAATAATAAATGCACATTATTATATATCCATTAGAAAATTAAGCGACAAATAGTGTAGATCTCATCCCTTGAAAATGAAAAACCAATCATCTCACATAAGAAAAAAATAATTTTTTTAATGCATCGGTTGCAATAGCTTCGTAATAAAAAGCACAAAATTAATAAACTCACCCTTGAGAAAAAGGCTTTTCAAACATAATAAATGATACGGCGATTGAAACAGCTTTCCTAAATGTTGTAACTTAAAATTTAAAAAATAACAAAACAGAAATTTGTCAAGTTAACAAAAAAAGGGTAAATATGAAATACTTAAATAATATATTAACTTTTTTATGACCTAGAGAAAATATATAGAAAATGTCGACAGAAGGAAGTCCACACACAATATGAGTTAGTAAGCACTTTTCATGAATTTGAAGGGAATTTTTCACCGCAAACTGACATCAGCAGAAAAACCAATAAAAAAACAAAGAGTATTGAACTACTATTTTACCTTTGTTTAAGTAACTGTTTATCTTTGTGTATTTACAACCACGACGCATAAGATCAGAATCAGAACAGTCAGAGCTTCTAAGATGTATCTAATGTTTTAGAGATAACACACAAGTATAATAAGCGTCAATTCCGTAATAAACGAACATGAGGTGATGGTTAGTCAGAACAATATTAAGCGATTCAAACATCAATCGAATAGTTTGTTTTCGGTTTGTATTACAAACTATTCATTTCCAATGAAATTTTCATTTTACACTAGCTTTGCAAAAACTTGATATCTTATCATTATCGTGAAGAATACTAACCATCATTTATGCTATATCAGTGTTCCACGAAGAAAATACTGGTTTTCGAAGGCTGTTTTCTATGGATCGTCCATCGATCCAAAACGCTAATTATGTTGTAACTGCGAATTTCTTAATGTACTCATGCTCTTGTTATGCAACTTACAACTGTATGTTTACAAGACTCGTGACTATTATAGTATTTACAGCGATAAAAATGCTATGACGTACAATAATGCATTTAGAGCGCACCATACACTTCACATTATTAAAATCTTTGTGACAAGTGTTCTTTCAAAACAATTTATGAATCACGTCTTTTAAATAATGAGCCATAATATTTTGACATATGACACGCCTTTTGCATTACTAGTCGTGGTTGTAAACTGGTTTGTATTTTAATTATTTTCGGAATATTTGTTTATTTATTCAAATAACTGTTATGTATATTTATACAAAGACGTGACTCAGTAATATCATACAATTCCCACTGAGATATTCTCAACCCGGTATTGATTAGACATAACAAAAAGTCTACTTGAATAGTGAACTTACGAAACGAAAAGTTGATCAATGTATAAGACATTGATGTTTTTTTTAAAAACACCTGTAAATGTGGTCAGATAATCTAATGAAACCCGTCATCTTCGTAAAAACGATGAATTCAGTGATTGGAACTCTCAGTGTTCAACGATTTGGGTTTAAATCCCGTAGTGTCTACTTTAGTTATAATTAGGCAATTTATCTGCACTTACATCCAAAATTTAGTTTGAAACTAAGTATATGAACATGTAATGGACTAGTGAGTATTATTCATAAAATAATCTTTTTGTAAAGAGTATAGCTAACACATATTTGCTTATACACAGTCAGTCAGAATCAATATAGAGCCTAGCGTATATATATACCAGTTCAATTTGTTATGCAATATCAACACAGTGACATGATAATACTAGTACAGGTCCCAGAGCAATAGAAGTACTAACAGTCTCAGTCTCAGTACAAGTATTTAGAGATAGAAAATATAATTCGAGAAAAAAATGAATTTACGAAATAAAATCTATAAAATAACTCTAAAACTCAAGATCCATGAAAAGACAAAGTGTGTATGGATCTATGCCAGTGTGACCGATTCCGAGCAATTTCACTCAATGTCTTCAATCAGTGGTTAAGATATTCGCGTGGACTCCGACCACTTAATTGAAATCCATCAATATGGCTTCGACTGACTATCAATGACTTCATGGACTAATGTCACGTCCCGGTTCGGCCACTCCCAGTTTTCTTCCAAACTAATCCAACAGTGCCAAACAGAGGTTGGGTATACGTAATGCCTATCTCTATCCACTCAACCTACGGAGATTCACTGCCTCATCAACTGGCTTACCATCCTCACCTATAATACTGTATTTTACCTCAGTATGGCTTACTCAGTAGTGTTAACAAGCACAAGTAGTGATTCGAAGGTATATATGACTAAACAGCAGTAACCTACGGATATCCTTTATTTTTAAGGAGAACGTTTCACACCTATAAAATAAAACGGAACAAACTACTGTGTAGTATGTTTGTTCTTTAGTTGACAGATGAGCATATTGTCTAAATTACAGCTGAAGCAAGTATGTGAAAACTAAAAGAGCTTTTTAAAGTAGTACAAAAATTCAGACAGACATCAACCCAGAAAACCTGAAGATACTTTCAAGATAAGGGAAGTGGTGGATAACTTAATAAATATCTACTTATTATTCCGAAAATTAATTGAAGTACACACCAATGAAGTTATGTACAAAGTGAAACTTGATACAACTTATTAACGTGAATGCCAATGGTTTGAACTAGTTGAAGTCGATGAGTTGTCACAGGCTGTAAATGACAAATATAAGAAAAACAGTTCAAAATTGATCTCAGTTGAATAGTCAAGTTCACTCACTAATCTTCATTAAATTTTGATTGAGAAACTGTTTCATACTCTAATTCTTCTATGTTACTGATTTCTTTAGAACTATAGTTCTTATATTTTAACCTTCAAGTAGGATAATACCTCAATAAATAAGATGTAATATTATGAAATTTTCATACTTCAAAAGAATCATCAGTTCATTTTTGAGAACAAATTAAAGGGAATAAAGTATATAATAGTGATCTATTAATAATTCTAACTAAAAATTATATATCTGCAATTATTGGGGAAAAATGATAAAATTTCAAAATAGATACTAATGAATATAATAATGTGATGTGTGGGCGAGAATGTCAATGATTGGTTGTCTCGATGAGTCAGACATTAGAGGGGATGACAGGTGTTATGTGATATATATATATTTCCCTATCCTTATTATGTAGGAACTTATTGACTGTTCCATGTGTCGGATTTTGGTGTGAAATATATTGACGTTATAGTCAGGCTAATATTGTGTTCTTGATCTGAGTTCTGTTGAAGTCCTGTAGAATAGACACTGGGTGGGAATCTAGTGTAGATATTCGTCTAAGATAAATTAACGTCCCACATACGTGTAAGAAGTAAAAGGACTGTTATAACCAGAAACCCCTAAAGTTATAACCAGCATCCTCTCTCTCTCTCTACGTTTATAACAATTGGCGACGGCATACATATGTTTATAACATTGGCGACGGTGATTAAAACGGATCTACGCTTACGTATTCACTTAAAGTTAACTTTGTATCAAGAAAATGGATGATCTGAAAACCTTATTGCAACAGCAAAATACTCTTATCGAATTATTAGTCAAAAATATGTCGATATCCTCAAGAACTGATGTGTCTAATTCCACTATGACTCCGGATTCTATTGCAAATTCAATAACTGAATTTAGATTTGATCCAGAAAGTGGAGTTACTTTTGAGGCATGGTTTAGACGCCATGAGGACTTATTTATTAATGAATGTAAAGAGTGGGACGAAAGTTCGAAATTGAGATTATTATTACGAAAGCTCGGAGTGTCCGAACATGAAAAATTCTGTAATTTTATCCTCCCAAAGAAGTCATCCGACATAACGTTCAAAGAAACAGTCGAATGCCTGACTCGTATATTTGGTGAACGGTCATCAATTTTTCACACTAGATACCAGTGTCTTCAACTCGTGAAGAAAGTACAGGACGATTACGTAACGTATGCAAGTATCGTGAACCGGGAATGTGAGCGGTTCCGATTACAGGAAATGTCCTCAGATCAATTCAAGTGCCTTATTTTTGTATGTGGATTACAATCTCCAGTAGATGCAGATATTAGAGCACGGATTCTAATGAGAATCGAACAAGATCCTAATATCAGTCTACAATCAGTATCTGAAGAGTGTCAAAGAATGGTTAATTTGAAGCATGACACGAATCTCGTAGAAAGGAACAGTGAACACGTGGGAATTAATGCTTTATGTAAATCTTTAAATGAAAATAAAGATTCGAACTCCCAGAAAATCCCAAATCAAGTGAAACACAAAACGTCATGTTGGCGATGTGGTAAGTCTCATTCTGCCAAAGTTTGTTACTTTAAAAAACGAGTATGCTTTCAATGTGGTAAATATGGTCATGCTCAAGTATGTTGTAAAAGTAAACCAAAGGTTTCTGACCGTCAGCACAAGTTCCGTAAAGGAAATAAGATACAGACTTCAAAAGTAATAGCACATAACCGTAAGTTAGAGGAAGATATATTGGTTGCTTCTATATCAATTGAACCGGAAATAAAAAAAGTGTTCTGTGATGCTATCAGAATCCTACCAGTAACGGCAGAAGCAGTTAAAGAAGCCACGGGTAGTGATCCTCTACTTAAAAGAATAAAAGAAGCTGTTTTAAAGGGTTGGAAACAGGACAAAGCTGATCGAGAGTTTCACCAATTTTTCTTGAGACGTGAGTCTATATCGATTTATGATAATTGCTTGATGTATGGTGAACGTGTTGTTATCCCTAAATCTCTTCAGCTTTTTGTGCTTAGACAGTTTCACATTGGTCATCCGGGAATGAACAGAATGAAGGCTGTTATGCGTAGTTATGTCTATTGGCCATTCATGGATAAGGCTGTGGAAGAATACGTAGTGAGATGTCGGCGATGTGCCGAAGTTGCAAAAGATCCACCGAAGGTAGAATCCCAGCCATGGCCAGAAACGACAAAGCCTTGGGTCCGACTACATGTTGATTATGCTGGACCAATAAGTGGACAATATTTTTTGGTGGTGGTTGATTCATACTCAAAATGGCCTGAAATTTATGTGGTACGAAGACCATCTACGTCTGAAACACTGCTACATCTGAGACAATTATTTGGTAGGTTTGGTACACCTAATGTTTTGGTTTCAGATAACGGGACGCAGTTCACGTCGTTAGAGTTTGCGGAGTTCTGTAAACAGAATGGAATCGAACACGTTAGAACTCCACCGTATCACCCTAAGTCGAACGGGCAGGCAGAGAAATTTGTTGATATTCTTAAACGAGCTCTCTTAAAGATGG